TGAGGGTTTAAAGAAACATTTGAAAAACTGGAATAAATGCTGAGAACAATCTGACATGTAGCAAAATGTAAAATGCCATTCCATCTCTAGGAATATAACTTACAGATACACTTGCACTCATGCAAAGTAACTATATTTCATCTAATCCAAATGCCACTGATTTTAAGGTCATCATTGATTTTAAGATGCATCGTTATTTTATGTACCACTAAAATCAAAACACTGCCAATTAAACTATGGATATTAAGATACATTCAAATTTCTGATATTAAAAAATGTGGGGGAAATATATATATATATATCCTATAACCTCATTAATTTCATTCCATAATTTTTTAAATTGAGGTAAATATTCAAAATCTGGTTCCCTATCTTTGCTGGGCATCCTGAATTTTACAAGATGTGCCATGCTGAAATTCTACAGGAAACCTTTTTGGGCATCTTAGTTCCCTGCTTCTCTGGCTCTCCAGGGAAAACTTTTCATCATTTACTACGAAAGTCTGCTCTTCAAACCATTTCAAGTCTATAAATAAAATCAGAATGTCCTAGTCCAGCTCAAGCTAGTGTGTAAAAACGATCCTCCTTCCCCTTGCAATAGGCTAGATGGAACAGATCAGGTTGGATGGTCTATACCATTGGTCCCCAACCTTTTTGGCACCAGGGGGTGGTTTCATGGAAGACAATTTTTCCGCGAACGGGGGCGGGGTATTCAGTTGGTAATGCGAGTGATGGGGAGCCGCAGATGAAGCTTCGCTCACTCCCTCGCCTGCCACTCACCTCCTGCTGTGCGGACCAGTTCATAAGCAGACGAGTACCGATCCACGGCCTGGGGGTTGGGGACCCCAGGTGCTAAGGAAACTCCAAACTCAATCTGGTTTCAATATTCCCTACATAGTGAAAATGAGAGAGGTCCCATCTCGTAGTTTAACTGAGTACAAACAATTCAGCATGTTCAGTAGAGGTACTCTACTGAACCAGCAGGCTTAGCCCTTCAAAGAACCAGCCCCAGTGGACTAAGAGCATAGTACTCAGTTTCCCTATTGGCCTTGACAAGTTAGAGAAAACATGAGCAGTAGTAACACACTCAATTCAACTTTAAGATTTACTTATCATTAGCTAAGCCCCTTCCTTCTTTGGTGTCTTATCTCCTTGACAAACTGCTAGCACCACCCCTATCCTGTATCTCAGGGGTGTTATTTACCTGCCAGTGAATACTACTAGGCCCTACTCATGTCAGAAAATTTGCATTTGGTGAGAAGTTGGAAGGTTTCCTAAGTTAAGCCATCATCTCAGGCTTAAGTCGGAAAAAAGCCGTTAGCATAAAACTTATTTTTATCAAAATTATCCACGAACGAGCTTGCCTGGTGGCGCAGTGGTTGAGTCCGCCTGCCGATGCAGGGGACACGGGTTCGTGCCCCGGTCCGGGAAGATCCCACATGCCGCAGAGTGGCTGGGCCCGTGAGCCATGGCCGCTGAGCCTGCGCGTCCGGAGCCTGTGCTCCACAACGGGAGATGCCACAACAGTGAGAGGCCCACGTACCGCAAAAAAAGAAAAATTATCCACGCACATGATTTAGCAAATATAACAAGGCTTTCACGTCTCTTGCCCCATCCTCCCCAGAAGCAACAGATCTTAGCTCTTTTCAGCGTTCCTTACCTTTGTGTCTGAGTAAGATGGTCACTGTTCTCCATCTACCACTTCAAGAAATTATCTATTAATTTTTTTTTGGTAATATTTGGCTGCGCCAGGTCTCAGTTAAGGCACGTAGAATCTTCACTGCTGTGTACGGGATCTTCGTTGTGGCATGCGGGATTTTTTTTTTTTTTTTTTTCAGTTGTGTCGTGCAGGATCTAGTTCCCTGACCATGGATCGAACCCAGGGCCCTCGCGTTGGACGCCAGGAGTCCCTATCTATTGATTTCTATTATGAAACTTTGGATTTTGCTCTTACACACCCCATTACTTACCCATCCACACTTCCCTATTCTCCCAATTTAGTTAGATGAAAATTATTTTATTAAATATATAAATCATGCTGCCATGATTATGACTCGGTAGAGCTCCTAATTATATTTTATGAGTTTTTGTTTACTCTGGAATTAGCATTTACATTTTTTCATTTATTTTCTATTTTCTTATCAGCAATTGAGCTAACTCTTCAAATGAACCAAAATTTCCTCAAGATACTCAAGCTAAGTTTCAAAATCAGTCTTGGAGTCATTCCATTCTAGAACTCAACTTTCCCTTGCTGCAACCTAGAGTACTGTTCTCCAAGCCAAAGCAGAAAAGCAGTCCTGAGACTTCCCATTGCCATCATTTCTGGGAATTCCGTTTGCCTCCGCATGAGACCACATGGAGAATTCCAGTACTAAGTAAACTCTACCTCAGTAATTTGCACCAGCATTTAATACCACAATGCAAAGTCTACCTCTCACTACTCCATCCCCCTAGAGTCTAGCTTATTGCTGATGTAGCTCTGGGATAAGAAGCCTGGTTTAATTTAGCATTCCAAGTCAACCCCAATTTTGAGGGTGTGTGGATGACTTTTAAGTGAAAGTTAATCTAACACCAAATCAGTATCATCCTGAAAACTGCCCTCCTAAGTCCTCTGATTCATCCAGAATCGGGCTTGGCCAGACGCCATCACAACAGAATGGTGTAACCATTCCTATCTCCACCTAACATATATACCAGTTATTTGCACACCCAAATTGCCTATGCAGAAAGCTGCCTGTGTAGGCAAAGTAAGGACAGGCACCTAATCATCTTTATTCTCCACATGGTATTTACACGTAGTAGGTAACCAGTGAGTACTTCACAATGTGCAAAGCAAGCTCTCAGGTGGATGCCAACCACAGTTTACTCAACGGAACGAAAAGAAAAGTGGAAGGCTACATGGGAATTCCCTGGCTGTCTGGTAGTTAGGACTCAGTGCTTTCACTGCTGAGGGCCCGGGTTCAATCCCCTGGGGCGGAACTAAGATCCCACAAGACACGCAGCACAGCCAAAAAAAAAAAGTGGAAGGCTACAGAAAGCTAGTGTATTAAAGCATCACTCTTAAAAAACTACTGTACAACTCCTGAGGCTAAGCGTTAGCAGTATAACTTTGTCAATGACACAGGGCAGACTATGTGGCCTCAACTCGAGATACATTGGATTGGAAATTCACACAAAAATAATTTCACAAAATGTAATGTTGAAATAGCGAATTCAATCATTTCAAAACACCTTTTTAAAGTTTTAGAACTACTTTTCCACTGTTCTTAACAGTGTTTTTCCTTTCAACAGTAATTAAAAAAAAAAAAGACAAAAAAAACACCACTATAGTAGGAATACAGCATTAAACCAGCCCAGATTCTGGCAGTCATGAAAAACTCAGGTTGTGTTACAGGGAGATGATGCTCTCAGAGGGAGAAAGAATGCTTTATCATGCAAAAATATATTACTCCCATATTTAATCCACTGTGACACGTCACCACCTTCACTGACCATTCCCATCTAAATGCTCTACTTGACAGTATGTAGTCTCCCTCTCTTAGAATATAAGCTCCAGATCTAGACCTAAAACAGTACCTTGCAGAGTATCACTGAAAATTTTTATTTGTTGAATCAGTGAACGCTGCTAGTGCCCATCTTTTGAAACTTGCCAACCCCACCCATCGGACCAAGGGGCATGTTCATCAGCGCTGATCAGTAATGGGTCCATCTCTGGCGGAAAAAAGGAACCAAAGCAGGAAAACCCTCTAAGTGGCAGTGGCAGCAAACCAAGCCAGCCAGGGAAGATAAAGACAAATACAAGGACCTAGCCTAGATATTAGTCATAATCTTCTTTGTTGATCACTTCTTATCTGTAGGAGCCAATAACTCTTCCCACCCCTAATCCCAACTCCACCAACAGTTTTCCCAGAACTGTTGTCTTTACCACTTGACCTCTCACCAAAGACAACTTCCATATTCAGTAAAATGGTGGCTGGGAGATTAACACATAAAACACTTCTCACAGGGTTTCAGAGAACAAATATCCAATAAATTACAAGTTGTACTGTTATCCCCATCTCAGCCATCTATGAATTAGAAACATTAAGTAGGAAAATCTGAGAGACCACCCAACTAAAAACCAGCTGCTTTTTCTTATCTCCCATTACCACAACCCACCTTTCCTAAAAGCATAAGGCCCGGCATACAGTAGGTGCTGAGTATTTGTTGAATGATGCTGGGAAATGCCCTAACCAGACAGAACCCCACTATATATATTAAAACTGGAGCAAGAAAGTACAGACAAAAAACATCTGCAAGACAGTCTGTTTTGATAAAAGCATGGAACTAAGAAGCAGTGGCTCTTCCTTGTACTCACCCCCCATCCTTGTTAAATAATCTAAAGCTCACTTCTGGGTCCTTCTTCTATGCCTATCATTCTAAAGGAAATGAGGTACTAGTGGGGCCACTGAGGAATTCTTTGGATTTTGGCAGAACTGTACAAATAGATGGTGAAAGGCATCAAAAGGTGTTGCTTACTGGCCTAGGAAAATAGCAGAATGCTGTTGGAGCCACAACTTAATTTTCCATATGGCATGAAGTGAGAGCTGACCTCCTGTTCCCTCAAACCCTTCCTTATTCTAGACCTCTTCCTTGGAAAGTAAGTCAAACTAGATGTACTGATTGGGTGGTTGGAATGTTAGTAGTAAGGGGTGGGTGACAATTGTTTCTCAAGCAGGGAAAAGTCCCACATCTCAAAACTCCTAGTAAGTTGATGGTTTTATAACAAAAGTGTATGAGAGACAGAAAGTCTTTAATGGAATAAGCCTGCCTACCTGGGTTCTTCTATACAAGCCCTCTTTTACCTTTGGCACCTATAAATCCTATCTACATTAAGGAAAACAACTGCAGTGATGTTCACCCAGAACTGAATGTCAAACTTTATACCCTCCCCTTCTCTTCCAGAGACAAATAAAGAACCCAGACATAAGCCCAAGTAAGAACTCTCTCAAAGCACACATTCCCTAAGTTGAAAAACCATTTATTTCACCGGAAAGAAAAAAGTGATCCAACGCTATGTGTCTACCTGCCATAAGCCTTTGGGTCAAAAAGACTCAGGAGCAGTGACACTCTCACAACACCCACTGGAAGCAGGAAGTGGGGATACAGCACAACCCCCACCAGTTTCTGCACACAATGAGACCTGCTGGGAGAACAGAACATGATGGGAAGCTACAGAAGTATTGAAGGACAGAAAGAACACGGAAATGGGCAGGAGAGAGGAAAGAAGAGGTGGTCTGAACTTAACAAGGTAAATTAAGGTCCACGGTTCCTGGGGGACTGAATGCACAGAGCTGAGAACGTCCCGGAGATGGGGTACCACGAAGGGTGTATTCTCATGCACAACCGCAGCTCGGAATTTCAGCCCACACACATCCCACCTGAAAGAGAGCACAATACAGGGGCTTTACAGCAAAGCTCACAAGGGCTTTCCCACTTACACTTCAAAGAACATCTTTACAAAGTACGGTAACTTGACACTCCTTTTAAGTTTACTTGTATCCATCCATAGTATAATAATCTCTAAAAGTGAAAAGAGCTTGAAGGCCAGACAGTAACTGGGAAGGGTCAAGCAATCCCAGACTAGCCTTTCTCTAAACGAAATAGCAAATTTTCTTTCATGAGAGTAGACAGACATTGCATTTCTCTTGATGTTAGCACATTAGCATTCCTCAGAGAAGGCAATTCCACATTTACAAACTGTCACTGGAGAGCAGGAAAAAGGGAAAGGTTCCAATTAGCTCTTAGCTCTCCACAGTAAAAAGTATGTTTGAATCTTGGAGTTACAAGTTAAAAACCGTTTAAGGTCTAGGAAAAAGTGGCATTAACTGAACAAGCTGTAACACCTGAGGGCATCCAACTCTGCCTAGGGAAGAAAATAAAAGAAAATAAAAGAACGTACTGGAGGGCATGTGTAAGCTACACATCAGGTCACTCAAGTTTCTTCTCCAGCCCTATCAGTGATCTCCTATCCAATAACCCTGGGCAAGTCACATACCTTCTGCCCTAATGGAAAAGATGACAGTATCACCCACCCTGTTACTACAGGATTACAGATCAATGGTAATGTCTGGGACACAATGGGAGCTACTCAAGACAAAGGGTGTTGTGAAACACCCTTTAATACAACAGTAGTCTCAAACACCTAGAGCCCAAAGCTGGCAAGCATCAGAAGAGAATACACTCAAGTAGAGCCAAATGGATCATGAGGCTCAAAACGTATAGGAAAAAGCCAGAGGACTCAAGGTAGAGCTGGTGGTTCAAGAATGTTAAATGCTCATAGCTGGTGGGAAGATGAAGGGAGTGATGTGCTTAAGGCAAAGCTCCCAACCTTGGATTTCAATATTACTGAAGAAGAGTAGAATTAACAGGGTGCATACATATTTACGTTATTATATACCTTAAAGAAGTGGAGAGAATGTCAAATCTAATACTGTGGGGACAGTTTAAAAACAAAACTGAACAAAGTAAATGGGCTCTTACAGGACAGATTCAAAGATAAAGCAATGGGGTAGGCATTCTATTCAGCTCAGGGAATGAATGTGAACTGAGCAGAGAAGTTGAATTTGAGTCTATGCCCCAGACTCCTTGCTGAAATCAACTTTATAAGTTGAAAGATATCTTTTTCTACTCCTCTCTGCCCCAACTTACCATCAGACCTTTCACACAGCATGAAGCAGAACAGGAACCTTGCAGACCTTAGTAATGTCACACACCTAGGAATTTCAACGAAGGCTCTGAGAAACGGCACACCTGGGTCTGAATGTCTGGTTTCCAGGTTTGGTTCAATTACAGCACACAGGTGTGACCCAAGATTCATCACACCACTGTTTGCTTTTCCAGGCACAAATGGAATCAGATTGACTCCCAGGACTAGGAGCCCTGGAAAAACAGCCATGAGGGATAAGGATGTTTATATATTTCACAAAGTAGTTAGGACTTCTCCCTATCCTCTGAACCATTAGCAACCTTACCCTAACCCTGCAAAAGCAAGCAAGCAGGGCAGCCTAACTGGAGCCTTTAGGCTGCAGGAGGGATGGCAAAACCAGAACAAGGGACACCCCACCGCTCTCACCTCAAGCTTTAAAAGGCTGAATACCGCGCCCGATCCGCATACTGCTCCCGCTCATACCGGGCCATGTCGTACAGGGAATTCCGCGCGGCCGCCGAAGCTTGGGACAACTCACTCTCATGCCCGTAACCGTAGCCCTCTCCAACAGTGGGGACTGGGCCGCGACGCAGGGGGCTCCGATCGCGCCCGTAATATGAAGTGGAAGCTGCAGTAACAGCAGCAGCGGCTGCTGCAGCAGCAGCAGCTGTAGCAGCAGCAGCTCCTGAAGTCGGCAACAGGTGTCTATCGTAGGGATCGAGAGAGGTGGAGGTGAGGTGACTGGCCATGGCTGTATTCTGGACTTGTGGCAGCTGGGACAGGGTCTGCTCTGCGTAATTATACGCAGAGGCAGCTGCAGCAGCCACTGCCTCATAGGACCGGGCAGCACGGCAGCGCTTGTAGTAGGCATCGAGCGCTCCGTACGCGTTGTTGTAATACAATGAATCCCCATAGCTCATGGCGTAAGGTGTACGCACTGCTCCATATTGCTCATTATATTGCTCGGTAAAGTCTGCCACTCGGCCCGAACGATCTACCGGACACTCTTTGGACCAGTGCCCCTCTTTCCCGCACCGATAGCAGCCGCTCTGGTCTCCCATCCCGGGCGCAGTCCTAAGCCGGCTGGTGGACAACTGCACGTGCATTCGTTTGCCTTGAAGAAACAGACGCAAGAAGGGTTGCTATCACTCTTAGTCATAGCCCCAGCCCCTACCCCAGACACTGGTCATAGCAATGGCTTTACCTAGACAACTCTAATGCAGGATTCATTGCCATTTTTAAGATTTTTTTTAAAAGGTCCAGTATAAATTCAGTATAATGACCTGATTTCAGGCAAAGATCAATTAAATGAAGAAATGTTTCAGCTCTAACACCAGTTTAACGCTTAAGAAAGAAACTACTCTCGCTCAAAAATAGGCATTTCATCCTTTGCCAAGTAACTGTGGACAAAAACTACTCTGAACGGTGGCCCAATGTCAAAAGAAACCACAATAATAGTGCTCCACAACATTCTGACACCTCCAATCTTCACTATTAAGACTCCTGAATTCAGTAAGCAGGAGAATGCAAAGGCCAGTCCCCCATACCGCCCCAAAATCAAAGAGAATAGAGTAGGACTCTAAAGTTACCATTGACAGTAATCCAGACTTGATCCGTGGCTGAGTGCGGTAGGCAAGTTTCAAGACTTTTGGGAAAAACACTCATGAATGGGGGAAGAGGGGTGAAATACGAGTTGAAGGACTGCCTTCCCCCTAAACTGGGTCCTTTAAATTGTTAGTTCTGATATTCATTCTAACAGGGATCCTTTACAATATTTAGTGACCCCTTATAACAGGGGATCAAACAAAACAGGTCAGGCAGTTCACAAGATGCCTGAATTTTCAGAAAGAGTATTATGAAAAATGTGGAAGAAAAGAGGGGATGAAAAAAGTGGAGAATGACCAATAATGTTAGTGTATCACACTGTTCATGTTAGCGCAAGATTAAAGTACTTTTCCTCCTTTAGAGATCTAAGATCCTAAGAACATGCACTTGATACTAGTTTTTGCTGAAAATTACAATTTGTATTCTGGAAATGAAGAAGTTTAAATTTTAAACCTTTTCACAGGAGCAATTTCCACCTAACATGATCTACCATTTTAATGTAAGCAAAACTCCAGCAAAACCTTTCCAAAACAAATGGCTATCATGCACCCAAGCATGCAGATGGCGAAGAAGTGAATGCTTAGAACCAGGGGAGTTAACAGATAGGTCATCTACTCAACTAACGTTATAGAAAATGGTAAATATACAATTTCACCTACAAAATTAGTTAGGTTCTAGAAGACTAAAAAAGGGAAAAGGGAAGGACCAAAATATCAAAAAAAAAAGTCCCGGTTTAAACATTTTATCTGATAAGTGTAGGCTGCCAGTGAAAAGCTAAGATGTACAATTAAGTACTTAAGTGCTTTAAGTGCTAACCTGTGTCCCTCGTTATTTGTCCAAATGGCCACTTTGGCACCTAACAAAACCAGAGAAAATAAGGGCAACGGAGGAACCAACCATGTCCTTTCAAGACATAAAGGTCATTAATAAATGTCCTGACCTGAAGATTTGCCAGAAAAAATTCCAAAGTCAGAAAAAGCAGCTAAGTCTTTAAAAATATCTAAAATGGATGTTCCTTAAATGGGCAAACAATAAAAAGAATATCCCCACCACTGAGAAACTGAAAGGGAAAAAGACCATCATAATAAATACTGCTACTCTATATACATATAGAACTGTACTAGACAATGCTAAAGAGAATGACTAACAGTAAGGAAAACAGAGCAAAAACAACTAAACCTCAGAGAGCCTAGACTTCAGATACCAAGAGTTATGCTCTAAGTATGATGTGTCCTGTATCAGTTCACAATACCCTTCCCTTACATGTGTTAACTGTTACAAGGAGACACCACCACCTCTTCTATGACTTGGTTAAAGTGTAGAAGAGTATCCAAAAATTAGGTATCATAAACCCTCCACCAGAGCAGCCTTTGCTCCCAATTAAGTTGTTGACACAAAATAATTCTCAACTTACCAATTAAAAATGGAAAACCAGACCTGAGAGACCTGTGACATTTTTCTTTAATAATGCACAGCAATACCCATAACACAGGGCACCATTAACTTGGGAGAAATGATGATCAGACTTCCAGGTCTAAGAAGGTCCAATTTAAGTAAACATCAAAGATAGCCGAAATGACTCTTAACAAGAGGAGTGCTCAGGAGAAGCAGCAGCTACTACCTTGTTCGGGCTGAAAAAAGTTGGAATATAGATTAAAAATGTTAACAAGGAGTTGCGGGAATACTCCATAATTTAGAAGTAGTTACACTGAAGAGGAAAGGCTCTTTTCTGGCTTTGACACTGGGAACCCAAAGTGGGTGGACGAAGAGTAGAGTTAGCAACTCACCATGGTTACCACCCCCTTCACAACTGCCACCCTTGCCACAGGAGCTTAGACCTTAAACCAAGAAAACAAAATGTCTATCCACAGCATCACTCATGCTGCCTTCCAGGCACACTATTATCTGGTCAAGGCTCCAAGGTTAACACCCATCTAAGTGCTCTACTCACCAAGGATGTTACAGCTCACTCCTCAAACCAGTGAAACGGCTTTGCCATTATCGCCCCCCAAATCCCAATACCTTCTCCTCAGAAACTCCTGAAATTAGCCTTCAGTTCTAGAGTGTCCTCGTCCTCCAAACCGAACCTCTTGGTGCAAGCGTAACAGAAAAGCAGTAAGAGCTATAACAATTTAAAGACACTAGTTCTCTCAAGACTTGTTTAACGACAAATTATATTTACTGAGAAGCCATGAATTGGGATGAGGTGGGGGAGCTTCACAGATATTTTGCTCCTAAACATGTGGCTTAAGCCAGCTTTTGCCAGGTCCTTCCACATACAAAATAACACATGGGGTGCTGAGGCAATAAATTTCAGAGTGAAACACTGTTAGGTGCTCTACTACCCCCCCCCACCCCGCAAAAAAGACAAAACAACTGAATAAATCTTCAGAGGAAGGGATTTCTGCACTAATAGGCAAAAAAGCCTAGGGGTTCCAAACTAATGCCAAGTGGTTCTTCTCCCAAACTTGATTTGCCTAAGGTAAAGCCTCTAAATCCCATGCATTCTCCATTTAAGCCCATCACCCACACTTAATCCTCACAATCAGCCAACCAACAGCTGTATCTCTATCTCTATCCCAGACCCCTCCTATCCAGCCTATTTTCTACACAAAACCTTGTGTTCAGCCCTCTTCCCAAAGAGGGTGGTTCACCTTGAAACTCTGTGTTGTCAAGGCCCCTGATGGCCTCCACTGCATCCTCTGCCCGCTCCATGTGTACAAAGGCATAATCTTTCACGATGTCACATTCAATGACCGGACCATACTCCTCAAACTTGGCCCGAAGCTCCTTGTTGGTACAAGTAGGACTGATGTTGCCTACATGCAACTTCGTGGATGTTTTGCTCTTATTCTTGCTGGCTTCCACGTTGATGTTCACCCCGTGCAGCTTGTAGTGGTGCAGGTTGCGTATGGCATCCTCGGCCGCTGTCTTGTCCTCTATGTGCACAAAGCCGTAGTTCTTAATGATGTCACACTCCAGCACCTTCCCATACTGCTCGAAGAGTGAGCGGATCTCCTGCTCTGTGGCCTCCCGGGGCAGGTTTCCAATGAACAGCTTCACCATCTCGGACACAGCCTGGGCGAGAAAAAATGAAATTTCTAACAAAAGACCTCAGGCCCATGTCAGTTAAAAAAAAAAAATCAATACTGCCATCTCCTTTGGGTCTGGCAAATATTTCCAGTTTTCCCCCCTCTCAGACGCCCCACACTCACACGCACACCCCCAGATAATAATCAAAGGGAAGTGGGAATAAGGAGGCCCGCTACAATTCCAGCTATAGAACCTACAGAAAGGAGAAAGCATCTGTGACACAGATCCTTAGCAGACACAGACAAAGGGTTTGGTAAGAGCTGAATAGTTTCAAACGGAAACGCAAATGAAAGCGGGGCATAAATGCAGCCCTGGGGGTACTGGGCTTTCTACCTACTAAATAGACAGCAAATTCCCTGGAGGTCCGGTTAGGACTCCACGCTTTCACTGCTGAGGGCCCGGGTTCAATCCCTGGTCGGGGAACTAATATCCCGCAAGCCACGCGGCGGCTCCGCCGCCAAAAACAAAAAACAAAGGTCTAACTACTTGGCTGGCTGGACTGACTGAAATTATGAACTGGCTCTTCCTCTCGTAACCGAATTAGCCATTTCCTGAAAAAAGGACCTTATAATAGCTACGTTTTAGGGTTTCCTTTGGAAGCAGTGAACCCGTGACTTAAGCTGGATAGCGAAGCGTTCGGAGAGTACAGGAAGTGCTGGAGCGGGGAACGCCTCTCTCGGGGTGCCGTCCTACGAGCTCCTGGAGAATTGGAGAAATGCATGGCCAGAGAAGGGGCCTTGAGCCTCAACGGCCAGACGACAGTGTCTCGGGGCTTCAAAAATTCTCGACACGGGGTTGTAATTCCTAAGTCTAACGGAAAAGCGGTTATCTCGGTAAAAGCCTCGAGGCAGTAAGCCGAGCAAAGTCGGATAGAGGGCAAGGTGGGGAAAAAGCAAGGTATTCTCGGCGGAGGTCGTGGGGGAAGGGCTGCTTGAGGCTTACCGCGCAACGCCGAGCACCGAGGTCGGCTCTCAGTGACGGATGCGGAGGCCAGGACTACCCTAGGATACCCCTAAAGCCCAAGTCGTGAGATTTAACAGGGCAAAAAAAAGACAGTGAAGGGGCTCGGAGTCTCTCACCCGCACGAAAAGCAGCAGGGGCTCTTCCTCGCGGCGCGGACGCTTCTGACAAAACGCTAAAATGGCGGCGGCTGCAGCAGTGACTCTGGGTAGAGAGGGGGAGGTGAACCTACCACCGGATTGGCCATTCAATAAAATAAAAGGCAGGCGTTCCCGTAGATCCTCTTCCTGATTGGTTACCACGAACGCCAATTACCTGAGGCCTGGAAGAGGTGGAAACGTCAGTAACCCCAAAGAGTTTATACGAAAGCCAATGAGCACCTCTCTCGACAAACCGAGGTCACTGATTGGATGGAAGGTCGGCGTGAGGGAGGAACTACCAACGTGCGCTTCGCTGGCGGGGTTCCGCCCGCCATTAGGCGGAGCGAGCTAGGGATCCGGTGTGGCGGTCTTCAGCTTCATGGCGCCAACTTTGTTAAGCTTCCACATTTCGCCACTCCACGTGCGCTCCATTTTGCCTTCTACTCCACACTTCTCCCTCTAATCTCCCAAACGCCATCCCCCTCGCAGCCAGGGTGCTGCGGGCGGTAGCTTACGCAGACCCAGAAGCCAGGTAAGAAAAATAGCAAAGCTTCCCACCTGAAGAAACCAACCTCCTCCTTTGGCCAAGAATCCGCACTGGCGCCCTGGGAGTCTCGGAGCTACCCCCACATTGAAACTACTTTCATAGGTGGTGAAAGGAACTCTGAAAACAGTTAATGGGCTCAGCTTCAATTAGGGTATAAAGGCCCCGACGTCGGCTCGGTTGAGGGCTGCATTTCTCAGGAGGCGCCGAAGAGACAAGTTCCTTGGAGGAACCAGCCTCCCGGGGTCCAAGATGAAGAAAAGGCTTCTCTGTGTGACCGTGGAGATTGCGCATACACCCCCACCCCGCCCTGAGAAAAAACTAGAGCAGCAAAGTTTTTTGTTTTATTTTATTGGGCGCCATCAGCCAGAGCTGTAGGTTTAAACTCCTAGAACCGACCTTAGAGGGAAGAGCCTAAGTCACAACCAGCTATAAGCAAAATACAATCAAAACAGCATTCTCCAGAGGGTCCGGCTTCCCTCATCACATTTTTTTATCATCCTTTGGCTTCTTCACATAATCCCATAATTCACTGAACAAGCAAGGCAGCTTTTGAAGAGGGAGTTTAAAAAGGGGGATGGAAGAACTTAAAACATGATAAAAGCAGTGAGGAAAGCAATCATCAGGAAGTGAAGATGACAAAAGCAGAACACACTACCGTTCAAAGCAGCCCCCCCAAAAGGGGTGGGGATCATAAAGAGAAAGGTGAAGTCAAAGTTATGGAAATAGATTTTAAAACCTGACGTGACTCAGAAATCAAACGGTGGGGAATTGGTCAATAATTTATTCTAGGGTGGGAAAAGGCAGGAATCTAAAAATGTCACATTTACAAATGTAGTGGTCACTAATCTTGGTCCGTTTTCATTGTGGATCCTGATGCTGACACTGCGGCTCTGAATAAAGGCCAAAGGATCAGTGATGAAGAAAACCAACTACATGTTAGCTGCAAGTGTGCCCTCTGGAGGGGCCCTGCATCGGGAGGTGGTCACAACTCCATGTGCGCAGGTTTGGAAACACATCTGGTATAGAAATCCTTTCAGCTCCTTCGTTTGATCTTCCAAAATTTTTGTCCTAATAGCCTTGGAGATAAAACTTTCTTCCAAAATACCAAAGCATATGAGATCAGCTTACTCTATGAAACTAGGAATCTCTCCAAGTCCAAAGGGGAAAAACTGGGAATAGAAATCTTCTCGGGATCACAGTTCAGGCCAGTTTGCAGACCACCACCCACACCCACACCCTGATCTAATTATTCTTGGTTTACCTTCTGAAAGCCCTCTAGGTCCAGTTATATTTGTTTCATTTTGCAAGCTCATCCAACTGAGTAAACCACATTAAATCATTCCCCTGCTTTTTAAATTAAAACCCACGGCAACTGGAAAAGTTTCAATTCACACTACCCAATCTGGTTATTGCCAGAATCTCCCAACCTCTGTAACAATTCTCCCACCCCCATCCCTAACACACCCCACCCCAACTATGCTCCAGCACACTGGCCCCTTTGTCCCAAGCTCATTCAGACTGAAATGTTCTTTCTCCAGGTCCTTCGCTGGCCACCCCATCTAAACACAGCCCCCCACTCCAACACTACACCTTGGAACTCTATCCCATGACTCCATGTTGTTTTTCCAAATACTTACCACCACTTGAAATCCTATTCGTTCATTTTCTTACTCCCTCCCACCCCCTGCCCCCAGCAAATACTTGTTCTACAGGGGCAAGGACCTTTTCTTGTTGTCTACTATTACCCTGTGTTAAAACTGCCCCTGGCACGTGGTAAGCACTCAAATATTTGTTGACTAACTTAACAAACAGATAAAGCATGAGTTAAAATCTTGATAACCAAGAGGAGAGAAATGACTTTGGATTTGCAGTCAGTATCAGCTTAAGAACATGGACACTTAGTACTAAAAACAAGCCCTTTTGCTCTTATCACCTAGTATACTTTCCAGTCTCCCTCAAACATAAAAAGCCCAAAAGCCAGGGGTAACTTATGCTACAGCTTCTGATCACCAGGATTACGTTTGACAAATGCTGCAAAATGAAGCTTTAGGTAGGGAGATTTGTAGCTCCAGTGTCTCCATACTGATGTTCATTTACCCAACTGTATTTTACCAAAATACTTAAAAATTAAAGGTTTTTAAATTAAGGATATCTGGTCCAAACCCTCTACCTTACCACACCGACTACAGAGAATCGGATGTTTTAAAAGCACTTTGTCTGGAACACTGAAAACGGCCACTTTGGTGATTCTTCTGATCAGGTTACCAAGCCTCTAAATTAAAAGATAAAGCAACTTGTCCAAAGTCATCTAGCCTTTCTGTCAGAGCCAAACTTAAGTATGTTCTGGCTCCACATCTTGAAGAGATGAAAGAGGCTGGAGCCTGGACTCTTGAAAGGGAAATGAGGAACAAATCCAAATTCAGGGGGAAACACTGTTGTCAGTGTAGACCACTCAAATGTGAATAAGCAATGTATTTGTTTCAAACCCTTTCACAGTCTTAGGAATGTATACAACTTATATACCTAATAACTCTGGCTCCTAATCCAGAAATGAGTTACTGGTATAATAAGGGCTCAAATTAAAAACCAGTAATCTCCAGGGATGTTCAGAGGGAGCCACTAGGCCAGTCAGCAAGCTTCCTAAGCCTCCAATCCCACTGCCAACTACACACTCTAAGCCTCCCCTTAATGTCTGTGCAGGGCCCCTACTCCATACCTTTCTTCTCCATACCTAGGGGAATCTGACCCTCAGGACACAACGGTATTGTCTGACACTGGTGGTGGCCAAAATTGGTATGGTCCAGTGGCCTACATCACACCTAGGTACTACTCATTACAGAAATCCCCCTTCTTCACTGTTACTCATACGTGCTGTACTCACACCTACACCCAAAGTCCTTTGCTCAGCTGTGTGCTACCCTACGCAGTCCCAATCTCCCCAGAATGTTCTAACTTCTTATTTCTGAGATGGCTAGCATTTAATGAGCAGTGACTATATATGAGGCTCTACACTTGCTACATGTTATTTGCTCCAACAGTCCTGGATGGTTCAAAATGGCTGGTTCAATTCCTTGATCCTCTACTTTCTAGCCATGTGATCTTCAGAAGTTACTTAACCTACAGCCTCAATTTCCAAAATAGGTTTAAAAGTACCTAATACAGGCTTCCCTGGTGGCGCAGTGGTTGAGAGTCCGCCTGCCGATGCAGGGGACACGGGTTCGTGCCCCGGTCCGGGAAGATCCCACATGCCGCGGAGCAGCTAGGCCCGTGAGCCACGGCCGCTGAGCCTGCGCGTCCAGAGCCTGTGCTCCGCAACGGGAGAGGCCACAACAGTGAGAGGCCTGCGTACCGCAAAAAAAAAAAAAAAAAAAGTACCTAATACATTTGAGTTGCAATGAAGGTAAAATAAAATATATGAAAAGCACTTTTAACAATGCTTAGCATGTGTTAAATAGATGTTAACTATTTTCCCTATCTTACCGATGAAAAAACTTAGGTAGAATTCCTGACATGTCCAAGATCACCCAGATAAGTGGCAGAACCGGGATTCAAACTCGGGAAGCCTGATTTTAGAGCCAGCACCCTCAGTAATTCTCTCTGTGCCAAGTCAGTTTTCAAATCAAACAAATCCCATCTCCACAGTTTTCTCTAGTGGGGCTGCCCCATCCTCTCCTTCCTTACCTGTCACTTCCCTAGCATTGCTTATTAACTGTAACTAGTTCATCGAGGTAGGTCCTGCACCCACCCCCACTATCGATTTCCCAAGGTCAGCCCAAGGGCTCAGCTACCTGAACACTATTTCTAGCACTACAGACACACAATATTTCTAATGATTTACAGCTAGACTTGAAATCATTTATTAATAACTTTTTCTTCCTGGAAAACTAGATTCTACCCTTTATGATCTTTTTAAAGGTTCCTATAGAATTTAGGTGAATAACAATTTTCCACCTATCATATCCACCTTATCTTCTTTATCACCCAAACTCCTATTACATTACATACTAGTCCATAAATCTAGGAAATTAAGTTTCATTATGACCTTAGTCATCCCACATTATAGTCAACTTACTTGACTTGATAGGACAAAATGACTGCAGAACCAACAGTCTGCGCACAGACTTTGGCAGAGCTTAACTGATGGGCATGACTGCAAAGGCAGCCTACCCATGGAGGCTGACCACTCAGTGATAGTCCCGTTACCTCCAGCACAAGGGATGGGGTCCCAGGCCTACCCCAGACAGAATCTGAAACAAGGTCCAAACCGCAGGAGAGAAGAGGCTGTAGAGGGGAGAAGCCTTTACATAGTCTTGTTCCAGGAATAAACCATCTAAAGCTTCTCCAATGAAGGTCAAGTTATAGAGGTGATAGATCAGAAGAGCAAAGATCTGAAGGACACTGGGAGCGCATATTCCCACCCACCTCTCCCAAAACACACATTAAATGTC